ACAATGCTCTCCTCGCCCTTTGGACTCGATAAATCTTTAACTCCTCTAGATTCTGAATCATTAAATTGACCTTAAAACACCAATGATTGTATAATGTAATGAGATCAATATATCATCGAATTATTCCCAATGAAGCTCAAGTGAGCATTTTGGCCAACAGGTCTCTTGATTTATTTTTTTATTTTGCCCCCTAAAAGTTTCAACTTTAATCCGCTTTAATTAACAAGGGGTCATTATTCTACGGGGGTCATTTTTCCTCACGTGGGGTATGCATGTTTTTAGGGTAATGACACTTTTTCTACGGGCAAAAGGGTCATTTTTCGACGTCGAATAATGACCGGGGGTCATTTTTCGCCGTTGAATAATGACCGGGGGTCATTATTCGACGTCGAAAAATGACCTACGGTCATTATTCTATGGGGGTCATTATTCGTCTTTACACCGGCTGTCCCGCTGTTGTAAATTTATGACCACTGTGGGCAATACCTGCCAACTCTTATTAAATCATTAAATTAATCAATAGATTTGTTTTGATGTACATATTGGGTCTTTGATATTTTCTAGTTGTGTTGCTTATATGTTTGAAATGAAATTTCTATAGAGACAGGTGAGTGAGAACTACAAATTAGTTCATCAACTATCACACTCTCAACTTTGTTTGAATCATTAGTTAACACTAATTCTATACAAGTTCCAATATATGTTGTAAAGTTTGTATGCTCTAGGACACCATTACTTTAATTAAGTTGTAGTAGTAGGTTTTTAAATGTATTGTTCCCAGGGGCTAACATGTTTCCATTGAAATCACCTAACAAAAATAATATCATCTTTGTATCTATAGCTCTTTCTATAGTACTTGTAAGTTTATCCGAAAAATCAGCCCCAGAGTCAAGAGGTCTATATATGACTCTAACTAAAAACTTTTGATTTTGTGACTGGATTCAATATCAGAAAATTTAAATTATTTCTCACTATAAAATTTAATATAGTTGAAATGTATAATGCAACTCCAAAATCAGTCCTCAAGGACTATATAAATATATATGTCAATAAGGAACCTCAGCATCTTTTAATATCAGCTTCAGAATATTTGTTTTTGTAGAATGAGAATGATTTTTAACAAAGTAATTTCGCAATCACAGGCATGAATATTACCGAGTTCCATTTTAAATAAGAAAGCTGTTTTTTTTTTATATCAACAAGCATGCTTTTTTATTTATCATATGGAAGGGTTGTATAACGCGTAGAAAAGTTATATGTTTTGATGTTATTGAAAAGTTGTGAGATTTTAGATCAAGTTCATATGAAGTTCATAGGATTTTTTTTTAGAATACACACTTAATATATTTACCTTCTTTAATATGTTGTAGCACAGTACGTCTGAAGTTTCTCCTTAACGGCAGTTAATACTTTAGTGAGGAGTAAGGATAAGGGCTTGGTTGAACATTTACTTAGACCCTGCAGTATATCTGTTTGTAAGGATTTTATGAAGTTTTTGAATCCAGTATAATAGGTACCGTAAATCAAACTCACTCCCGTTGGTTGGAATGTTAAACCTATTGAAAACATAAACTTAAGGTGATTTCGAAGAATTTCATTCTTAGAAATTTAACTGTGAGCATAGACTTGATCACCGGGTAATTTATACCAAAAGTCCTTATATGTAACAAAATAATATAAAGAAATGCAGATTAAAGACGAATTTCACATACACAGCTTTGGTTTTACATGTACATGCATATAAATTATACTCTTGACCTTTTAATATCATCATGTCTTTTCAAAAATTGTTCCAATGCAGTTGTTTAAACAATACAAATCGGGAGAAGAGCAACCACAGACCTCCAAAAACATCAGTGGTGGGATCAGATACCATGGAGGAGTGAGCATCCCCTGCTGAATGGTCACACCCGCCATGTGCTTTTGTCTTGATCGGAAAAAAACCCGGAAAAATCCGTAAACAGTTCAGTGTATAAATAATGGCCTAACAAATAGTATGAAAAACGTCAGTCAGCATTTGACTCAAGGATAGGTTGTTTGTGCTGACAAGGTCATTGTATCGACCATAAAACTTGCGAAATGATGACTTCAAACGAGACGGTTGAGATCCTTGTTTCATTTACTTATTTGTCAACAGCTTGCCTCATTTAAGACATTGCTCATAGGTAGATTATACTCTTAATTGCATATCTAATCATCTGGGAGACAAAAACCCTATATACTGGCAATGAAGGTATTTAGCTACATAAGTAAGGGAAGTTGACGATTGAAAATTTATTTTGTTTCAAGCTCACTGGGTCGACATATAAATGGAAGTAGCTATTGTTAACTGATAATACGTCGATATATCGTAATGTCTAGTTGAAGGCCCGACAATGATTTCTTATAAATTGTTTTATTTGCATAATTATGGAATATTGTATCATTTATAATTAAAATGATGGTTTATTATTGATAGAATGAAAGAAGTAATTGATTGACACCCATCAACTTGTGTTTAATCACACCTTTTGGACGTTTCATATTTTTTCCTTTCAAAGTATCCACTTTTATATTTACTTTGTGTTTCTGTAAAAAAAAGTTTATAAAAACTCGTAAGTTTCCTACAGAGTTTAGGAGGTGAATTTCTGTTCATGCCTCTTTACTGTCGATACTATCTCCAAATTCAATAATAAGGTATTTTATATGTGTAAACTTAAATAATCTTTGGTATTGTTGCATCAATGAATATAGTTAAAAATAAGAGGCGTCATCACTCATTTGAAAGTTTAACATGTGTGGAGAGCGTGTTTTTTTTTTAAATAGCAACATAATTTATTCTGAAAAAAAAAATTACGAATTCTATCGGCGATTATGCCAGATGATGGGCTGAATGTCACAGAGAAGGCCTCGACACTATGTTAGAAGCGATAAAAGTATAAGATTTATGTTTAAAATTGTTGAATAGAAATTAGTCTCATTTGTGTTTCTTCTATTCTATCTATCGGAAATGAACAAAAGGAGACAGATTTCTTCATTTGTATTAGGCTTTGAGCTTTGTAAAAATTATACTTTTCTACATTTAAGTCAATTATTTATTTCAAACATTGACAATTATCAAATGGAATCCTTTATTGTACACCTACAAAAGTCTTTATACAATTTTATTTCAAATATAAGAATACTTACACTTAACCTTCATGAGAGTAGGATGATGCATATTTTAATATACCAGAATTTATTTACTTTATCGAATATTCGAATATATTCGAATACTTTCATTGAATATATATGAATTACTGACAAAATTGACATCCCTTTTTAGTATGTACTTATCCAAACTGACAGAACAAGAAACAAATTAAATAGATATTTTGATTATTATAACACTCTATAGCCATTTAAAAGTGTCCAATTGAAAATAATTATGAAGGAAATGAAAAAATACATATCTCCTATATAATACCCTTTGAAAACTAGCTGATCTTGATTTACTATTTTCAAAATTGAGGATGAAGCACTTATAAATCTAATCATTTTATTGATTATTGTAATAAACAAACTATATATAATAAACAGAGGGGCGGCTGAGCTTCTGTACAGTCCAAGCTTAAAGAAAACACTTAAAAGTTAGGTACCTTTAAAGAGCTAGGTTCACTAACTCCATAAAATGGCCCTGTCCATATACCAATTAACTGAACAAGTTCCAATGTCCCATTTCGAACATCAATATAAAGTAGAGACTTAGTGCTTTCATTTCCTGAAAAAATTGCCCCTGAAAGTCCAAGTATTGAAAAACAGACTTTGTGCAACTACAATGTTCTTGAATTTTGAAGAAAATGAATTTGAGCATCTTCAACAATTAAAATATGAGCCCACTCTGCGATCCAAATCCAAAAATTTTGAAGGATTAGAATCTTCTGAAACAGTTCTTTCATTATAAAACTAAACACTTTAGATCAGAGGTTGGTGGCTATGCAAAATATTCAAAAACAGCTTACATTTTTAGCCATGATTTGATGAAAATGACGAAATTCATGACGTCATAATACATGGCCTAGAGAGAACATTACGTCATTTTTAATTAATATGCTTTCACCAAGGGTTCAAGTGAAATTTAACATATGTTCAACTAAAAATGAACAGTTTTGATTTTTAAACAATTCACAGGGCCGAAAAAGGCCGTAAGTGAACCTTTTGCTTCATAAAAGGAAGAAATAGTGACAGATTTTAAAAGAAAAATACGGTATATTTATTTCAGAAATTAAAATTGTAATGTAAAATATTTTCATATTTATGAATATAAAAGGAAGAGATATTGTGGTTTTGCAAGCGGTATCACTTAAAGCAAAAAACTTAGTTTTCTATAAGATTTGTCTTTATCAAAATGAAAGGACTACATGCTTTGCTTTTTTTCTATGACATACATTTTTCTGTAACATAAACTTTCAATGCAGAATCCAGTGGAAGATGGTTTATAGCATTTTGTTGATGACTTGAAATATGACCATTATCATACCAAGTAATATCACATTAATACACACAATAAGTATGAAAATGAAATATGAAGAAATGAACAGTAATCAAGATCAAAGTCCATTTAAACAATAAAAATGTGAGCAAAGCAAACACTGACCTCCAAAACAACAGAGGTTGGATCAGATGCCATGGAGAACTACGCATTTCCTGACGACTGGTCATACCGGCAATGTGCTCCTTGTCCTGATCGGTTATTTTTTCAATATTATGAAAAATTCTTAATGTTATTGTGTAATTTGCTTTGATACAAGGAAATATATATATATATGTGAAGCCTTTCACTAGATACACTAACCTTGAAATCAGATTTCTTCTCAAAAGAACCTATCTACTCTATGACGTTTAAAATCAATTGAAATCTTGAAACAATTAAATATTGATACCACTAAACCAAATCTGTGACACATTGAAGACTTTAAAACAGTGAAAGGTATGGAATGAAAACTAAAACAAAGTCCATCACAAATTTTCTAGTGTAATTTCTAATTCATTTCGCAGATGAATGAGTTAAGGAAGGAACAGGGTCTATCATTCCACTTGCCGTTTTTGAGTATATCAACGCAGTCCCTCGATTCTCCTTGTGCTGGATAAATAGTACTCGGTTCACCTGGAAGCCAGTTGGTATAGTTCATGGCCAAAGGTGAGTCGTTCCACTGATAATGACCTTCAATGACAAGATCGTTTCCGCCTGTCCAAGCTACACATTCGGAAAAGATATCCGCTGGACAAGGACCTGGATAAGACTAATGACATAGGTGAAAGAAACCTTTTAACATGCTTTGGTAAAACATGATACTTTAATGCTTACTTAAGGAAGCAATAAAAAAAACTGCACAATGATGATAGTTCTAATTCCTTGGAATTTTTATGCAGTAAGAATGAGCTGCCCTTTGACAGAAAATGGAACAAACGTAAATCTACAGTTAATATAACACTTTGAATAGAATATACTTAATCTTCTATTTGACCAGCAAAAGTAAATAAATAAATTATTTCCATGTATTTCCCAACATAAGTAAACAACAGTAATTTCTGTTCATAAAGGGGAAGTAAGGACCTTGAGCTAAAAAAAATACTTGTCATTCAATTTTTTTTTTATATTTTGTATATTTCTAATTAAGTATGTCCCATATATCTTAAAGCAGTTATATCATTAGGTTTCTTAACTTATTTTAGAGATATTGATTAACAAATACTATGCCCCACAGTACCTAAGTATAATTTTATTTCTCAATGTTTCCGGGCCAATTACTCTGTCAATCATGGGGTTTTTTTACGCATAGATAAAAATATGTAAGTGGACATGTATTTTTTAAAATATTTCAGAGTTTGAATAGGGTTTAATATTTGAAAAAGCAAATTTCTTCTATCATACTGCGTCTGGATAGGGAAAATTACATACTTTTTAAGACAACTTAAACAACAAAAAACTTGATTTGCAAAAAATTCTACCATTCAATATTTTTAAATTTACGTTGAAATGCAAGTCTTTTATATCATTTATTAACTGTAAAACTTTCGAATGGTGAAACTAACCTTAATATTGCACAGGACATCGTTAAAGAAGACATAAGCAAGACAAAAACGTGTCCTGTTCACATTTCTCAAGGACGGAAAAAACCAAGTATGACATCATAAAAAGCTTAATAAGCAAACCAAGATATACCTACGTAAGATTTCCGTCATCAGCCATGTAAAAATAATTTTTGTGTTCCCCGTTTCTCAAAGTATTTCATCATATACTGATTATGACCTGTTTTTACATAATAGTACCACCCCTGTATTCACCGAGTATGATCTTGCTGTACTAACAAATCGTGTATGACGTCACCGACTAATTGGACGCGCAGTTTAGAGAAATAGAGGAGCGGGTCTATCTATTTTATAATTTTTTAATGTTTACAAGAATGTTAAAACTTTTTATTTTTTTTTAATATAAGATGGTATTTAAAGTAAAACAAATTGTCAAAAATTTATACAAGAACTGACGGTTTACACATTTTGCACTAATATAAACGAAGACTATGACTTAGTTGAACAGAGTCATGTGACCATGTGTCCTTCATTCCCTTAATACTCCATTTCCTTTAAACAATTTATCCTGAGGAAATATGGAAGATACCCAATTTTGAAAAATAAATAGATTAAATCGAAATATATAGACTTCTATATGAATCAATGTCAAAGTCCAAATAAACAATTTTTATTAGTGTTAAAAACTTCCTTAACATTTCAAATTGTGTTGATAAAGATGATTGGTTTGCATAAATATTTACTTTCCTTTGCTGGGATAAAATGTTTAGACAAAATTTAAGACTATCACAAATTAAAGGTGATTCAAAGGGAATATAATTCGATAAGGATAACGTCAGAAAACACCATTTTGAATATATATCATAGAATATTTTGAAAGTCCGGAAAAAGGCCACAAAATTTTAGCTTTATCAATGGTTTTGAACCTCAAAAGGTCTGATTGATGAAAAGAGGTCTTTTCCAACAAAATTGTCTATGCGTTTGCAGAATTTGAAAACAATTTTTGGTCATCGTTGAACTTTATGCAGTCTTCCTTTGAATGGGACTAGCAAAATACCAAACTTTATCAAACTCAGTGAATTCCTTTTAATTATAGCAGCTTGAAATGCCGAGTCTAGAAGTAGAAGAATTAACAAATCGGTTAGATGTTGCTGTTCATACACTTAACAAACTGTCTTTAAATCCCGCTTTAAATCTGCTGGAACATTTTTTTGTATATTCATAAATTTGAAATTTGATTTGACATTCTAGAGAGTTGTAATATTTTGCTACATAGAATTCGAACTTATTTTTTTCTATTTAAGAAAAAGCAAAGCAAGACAGGTAAATCGACGAAAAAACACTCAAATAGCATGTCCTCAGCAAGTTATTCACAATATAGGTTTATAAAAATATCTTTAAATCACAAATAGGTACACTTTGCAGTGCAAAAATTCTTAAATTGAATAACAAGTATTGATCCAATGCAACTATTTTAAATCACTAGTTGAAACAAAGCTTCCCTAAAATTGATTGAAGATAGAAATCTCAATGTGTATTACTTGTTATTTTCCACTAAAAATTCTACCTTTGAAGTTAATGCCACATTTTTTTAATTTCCAGAAATGAGTAATTTATCATGTCTATGCCATAAAATCATAACCCGAAAAGGCTTTTAGTAACATTTTCCCGTTTTGTTTGTTTGTTTTTTGCATTGATCTAAATTTTAAAGCGAAGTGGGGCTCTTTTATTTAATCCACAAGAATATTGTTAATATTAATATGACTTTTTTTCTTGAGTATAAATGTGTTTGTAACTAACCCTGTAGAAAAAATGCCAAGGCAACCCATGTAGATTCTATTAAACTCTCTATTTCTACCAGATAAGCATCTCTGGACTCACACCACATCTAAAATTAAATCAATTGCTGTGCATATTTTTAAATGAATATTGAATGGTTAATCATAATTTATTATGTAGATTAAAAAAAAAATTCTACAAAATTTCATTCATTTTCTCTTTATTTTTTTCACATTTAAATGTAACAAATATATTTAACTGTTCCCTTCCAGGAAAATATTCATGCACAAATATATTTTATTTTGTAAAGTTGTTACAGTTATGTATCAGTTGATTGTATACAATTTTGTTGCATATCATAATAACCAAATTGTATGAAAATTTGTAAATTGTTCAAGCAAAATTTAAAAGAGGGTGTTTTATATTACCTTGGCCTCAGCCCACGTGACTTTCTTTTTGTTATGCAAGTAGCAGTGACCCAACATCTCCAACCACGGCGAGTCACAACCTATTCATATAATTGTATCATATAAGATAATGGTCTAAAATGGTAGATATTTCATCGATTCATTAGATAACACATTAATGTAAACGACCTTTCAATTATTCAAATTAAGCCTTAAACATAAAGTGGTTAAGACTGCTCATGAGCAGAAATTTTTCATGTTGAGTAAAGCTAATGGAATATTTGGATACGTTTCGGAGTATGTTGTAAAATTACTTGGAGTAGCATCGCAGCGTTTTCTTCAACTCTCGAAATACCTCCTAAAATATTTGCGACACGATTTCTTTCACCAGCTTAAGGATTTGCAAAATATAAGGTGTTTGTAGTAGTTGATACATATTACCCCCAGGTAATTATGAGATTTTTGAAAGCAATGTAGAGTATCAGATCATTATAATGTGTTTCTTACCTTTTTTTGTTTTCTGGTAGTACGTCCATTCTTCCTCAGATCCTGCCAAGAAGTTTTGAGGAGACTGCATGTATAAGTAGCATATTTTGTCGTTCTCGTTATACCCAAATAACGTGCATCTGCCATGACACATAGCACCGCATGTTAATCGAGAATTTACATATACCTGAGAAATGCTGTGGTTAACGTTGTTGTGTGACTCTGGTAGGGCCGTATAGAATTGCGATAATGAAGCTCCCATCTCAAAACAATGACATAAAACTACTGTTATAATAACCATTCTTAGTACATTGATACAGCTAATATTGACAGGCATGCTTCTACTCTCGTTATTTTTTGATAATGCCAGGAAAATATTTTATAACAGCAGCATTCGGTGATCCAGAACTTTTTTCAGGTATCCAATGTTTTACAAAAAAGGAACTGTCAATCCAGACCAAACTGTTTAATAGTCAAGTTTTAATATAAAAGTTGAATTTAAAATCCAGATACAAAGTTGATATTAAGTTCTGGGCATAAGCCTTTAAGGATGATGCTGTATATGTATATTTCACTGCGCAGCACAGTTAAGGCTGCAGTAAGGAGGCTGGGCCTAATTTATACGGGAAATGCTTACTATGACATCACACAAAAATAAAGGTTCTTCAAATTACCACAAAATGAAATGATTTGCTATTTTATACTTTGAATAGCTTTAAACTACATCAATACTAACTAGTACATGCAATATTGTCCTTGGTTAAATCCCACACAGCAATATATAAACAATTCACTGATCGCAATGCACTTGTCAATGTGGCGTCATATCGTAAAATTTGACGCAGTTTGTATGCAGTGAGAGGCGGATCAAGTTATATTTATACAATAAAAAATGTATTTTGTAATTAAATAAAATATAAATTGTAGATATATAAGAGGCCATTAACTTGGATGCGATGTCTGTTTTATGATTTTATTCATATACTTCCCGTACATTCCTTAGACAAGCGATACTGTCGTATATTTGTATGCAGAGTCATTGAAGGGTAATAGAAGGGTCGTAATAAATCGATATATTGCAAGGGCATACCGTCAATGAATTATGACAAGCTTCTACACATAAACTCAAGAAGTATGAAGATATTTGAAAAGTGCTGCGAACCTGTTGAAATCTTACAAATGAATGAATTATATCTACATTTAAAGTGCTTGACCAGCAAAATATTCAACATACGGTCTAACAAATGTAATTTTAGCAATTAGATAGTAGAATCTATATAGGTTCACAGCACTTTTCACAAACTACAAAGAGTGTTGAAAATAATTATATGTTAAACTTAGATTTTTAACTTGGTTATGCCCTTGCAATATTAGAATTTATAGATGACCTCAATACTTCAGGTATATTTGCTAAAAACACGTGACTGCCACATCATGTGACAAGTCTAAATATGAAATTTAATCGTCCTCAACATGTAGTTTTCAACCACATTGCATTTGTCCGATAATAGTAGTCCTAAAAAGAAATGCCCATCCTTGTAAAGAATGTATTTTCTATCTAAAAAATTCGCCGATATTTGCATTTGGCACCTTAACTGTACTGCGTGTATATATCTACCCTTTGCAAAAGCGATGACGAAAATTAACGATCCTATATTATGATTTTAAAAATGTATAGTTTTGTTTGCAAGCACAAACTGATGTTTAAATTTCTAATCACAAAGATTAGGATTGTCGAGCAGATTGCAAATTTCAAAGCAATTGATCATGTGTAAAAATATGACAAGGAATTTTTTTAGGAAGATGAAAGGAAGCCTCAAATTAAAAACATTAATCTACTAAGTAATCTCTCTGGAGAGACTAGATTTGATATATTGATCGATACCTTAGTGTGAAGCATGTTAATCTGTTGTCAATTGTGAAAAATTAAATTTTGCTAGAAATTCATCAGTGAAGAATCCGCTGAGTGCTACATTTACATACCTTTTCTCTGACAAACGAATTCATTTTGACTTTAACATAATAAACCTAACAAGAATATGAATCTTAATTTGAAAAAAGACATTAAGAAGGTTCATTCAGTTCAAAAATAGAGCTGACCATTGACAATGTACTACTCTGATATTTGGATACTTACATAAACTTAATAGATAACGAGGATGTCCGGAAGAGGTGGAATGTTTCACTTCTTAGGATGGTACTTTCATTTTACTTATCAATATCGCATCCAATCATTCATTATCTTGGAAATATCTCAATGGTCACATATTGTCATTCAAAAGTTGTGAAAATAATTGATAATCAACTAGCTGAAAACCTCACTGCTGCATGGAAGAACACTCCAGCAAACAGCTTATATTTTTGTTAATAATGTGAAATGAGAAACATTCGGTAGTTTTATTTATCACTATTTTTCTTTTGATTTACAGCTTCAGTACACTTACATATTCAAAACACCAAACCACAAAACAAATGGAAAAAAGGGACATTGTATATCAGTTTGGATACAATTTACGGAACTGTTAACAATTATATGTTCTTAAACTAGACAAAAAAAGTACGGCTTAGAAGGAACAGAAAAAAATTGAATTTATGCCAAGTTTCATGCAAAAGTTTAATTAATTTTTTTTACAAGCAGACATGCAATGTAAAATGTGAAGATAACACACAATGATCAATCTCATAATTCCAGTGAACAAAACAAATCGTTACCAGGACAAAACACGAACCTCTTAAAAACAGAGGTAGGATCAGGTGCCAAGGAGCAGTAATCATCCCCTGATGAAAACAGGAATGTACTAAGAATCTGCTAAGAACTCCCTCTGGATGGGTATGATTTGATAAATTGATCGATTCACTTATGTGAAGCATGTTCACCTGTTTGTTACTTATGAAAAATATCCTCTGATTCATTTGAAAACTGGAACTTTGGAGCGAAGGTAACCTGGTGGACCACGTTTGTGACGCTTTGGGTTCCTTAAACTTTTTAATAATAATGAACGTGTTTGAAGAACAACATTCAATTTTGAAGTGAAAACTGCATTTTTTCACTGGGAAAAACTTTTGTTTTCAAAAACTGTTCCGAAAAGTTTGATATAAAGTCATGAAAACACTGACATGCAATCAAATATATGAATATGTATTCCAATGTTTTATTATATGGTTTTATTTTAAATTGTATTTAAGAAAATAAAAAAAAAAGATTTGCAGGAAGAACATTAAAGTTATCACTAGAAGAATCAGCTGAGTGCTACATTTACATTCCATTTTTGGCAAACTATTTTGTTTTAACTTTAAAATGATATACTTAAAGGACTTGTCCCATGTTTCTCAGTTACTTGAAATTAAAAGCGTATTATGTTCCTCATAATTAAAGTGTATAAAATTTCGTGTTTTTACAGCGGAAATAGCGTGGTAATTAAAAATTATTGATCAAGATAAAAAAAAAACCTCATAATCAGTTAAAAATCTAAGTTAATTAGATAGTGATCACGTGACCATGAAACGTCATAGGCGACAATGGCTGATCAGCTGTACACATTAATCTTACTAAAATGTACGCGATACAAACTGGGTTTTTTTTTTTTGCGTTATGGACGACCAAATCACTGAAGTTGAATATTCAGTCTTATATGTTAGCAAGCAAAAAATCCAAAAAATCTGAAAACATGGTAAATTAACCTGTTAACAGTGACGATAGCGAGGGGGGCGAGGCGAAGAAGAAGAAAATCGCCCGCACAATATAATTGCATATTTTGTCATCTAATCACACGTATTAACTAACCTTATTCACAAATTTGCAATTACAGAACTTTGTTAATATATTTTATTTAATTATCTTAAATCAAATCGTAATGTAAGCACTGGCGAATAAATGACTGTATCCACATTGAAATCAGAAGGGGACTGGGACGGGGGTAAAATTGACAAGCTCCTCTATAAATCACCATGTTTTCTCTTGATTTAGAATTTCTATTCTATTTTCTTATTAATATCATTACGACATGTAAACCAACACCGTAGTTGGTTTATCATACATGTATTTATAAATTATTTTAAAAAAATGTTTATACTTAAACAAGTTCATACTTCTATAGTAATTGAAAAGCATGTAAGATATTTTTTTTAAGTATTTTCCTTATTATCCCGCATTTGTCGTTGATTACTTCATTAAAAGAATGCAGTTTCTCATCTCCCTATCAATGAATTGTCGCATATGACGTCACAGTAGTATGGCACCGAGATCCGATTGTAATATGCATATCGCCGTATTTGAATTTCAACTACAAATTTCTCTTAAAATATGTTTACAATGACCTTTATTTTATTCAGTATTTTAATAAACAAGGTTGTAGATGAAATATGAAGATAGCGAACAGAATTAAATCTCGAAACTCCAATGAAACGATACAAATTTGGAGAAGAGCAAACACGGACCTCAAAATTCAGAGGTGGGATCAGGTGCCATGGAGGAGCGAGCATCCCCTGCCGACCGGTCACACCCACCGTGTGCTCTTTGTCATGATCGAAAAAAAAAACCGGAAAAATCCGTAGACAGTTCAGTGTATAAATAATGGCCTAACGATTAGTATGAAAAACGTCAGTCAACATTTGACTCAATGATAGGTTGTATGTATTGACAAGGTCATCTTATCGACCGTAAAACGTGCGAAATGATGACTTCAAACGAATCTGTTGATACTCTTGTTTCATAAACTTGTTTGTCAATAGCTTGTCTCGTTTTAGAAATTTTCATACGTAGAGCATGCTCTTGTGTATCGAATCAACTGAGAGACATAAACCCCATATGCAGGTGATAAGGGTATATGCTACATAAGTAAGGGAAGTTGAAAAGTTGAAAGTCATCACGTTTATCATAAAGCTTTGTTGTTAGGTTACCATTAACATCTTTTTCAAGTAAAATATCTAACTATGAAACAGATGTGTCAGAATCTGTGGTATCTTTTATTTCAAGCTCACTGGGATATATCGAGTCGACATACGATTGAAAGTAACTATTGTTAATTGATAGTACGTCGTCGATATATCGAAATGTCGAGTTGAAGGCACTAGCAAGTGTTTTCTTCTTCT